ATCTGCACCCGATTGATTTTTGGTTGATTCGTAATTTGACTAAGTCCCAAGTTTGATTTTCCATCAGGGCCTAGTATTCATTGGTCATTGCAGATCTCCAAAACTTTGTCTGAGGGCTATTTAGAGCCTCTTTTAAAGTCCGGGGCTCATCAATATGGACTGAGTAGGCATAGGCTAAGTTTGTACCCACATTGATATAGTATTTGCGCTACTTCTTGTCCAATTGGATCTCTGGGCATTTGATACTAGAATGATCACATCTAGGATATTCCTGGGCACTGATTCTGGCTGAACCAGAGTTGTAAAGTCCTCTGGAGTGAGAAAATTCTCATTTTTTTTGCTCTGATTCAATCATGACAATTGGTGGATTTGAGATTGGATTTTCATCATCATCCAATGTCATTTTTTGTGAAAATCTTGATATTTTCATCAAACAACACATCCCTGGACTTGATTAGCTTCTTTGCTTTGGTATTGTAGAGTCTGTATGCTTTACTCTCATTGTAGTAGCCCAAAAATATGCATTTTACACTTTTTGGCTCACATCTTGACTGCTTTCTGGGCAGTTTCTTGGCATATGCTGTACACCCAAATATTCTTAGATGTTCTGCACTTGGTCTGTACCCATACCATGTTTCAAATGGAGTAGAATTACAAAGTATTCTGTTATAATTCCTATTTTTAAGGTATACAGCTGTAGCAACTATTTCCTCCCAAAAATATACGATAATTTTTGATCATGGATTGTAGATCTTGCAGTATCAGTTATTAGTCTGTTAGCATGCTCTGCTACTCCATTTTGCTGTAGGGAGTATGGTACAGTAGTCTCTTTCTTATTCCCATGAATTTTGCAGAAGTGGATGAAGAGTTTTGAGGTATATTCTCCACCATTGTCAGAGCATATTTTCTTGATTTTTTCACCAGTTTCTCTCTCCACCATGGCTGTAAACTCCCTGAACTTAGACAGAGCTTCTTCCTTTCTCTCCATGAAGTAGAACCATGTTTATCTTGTATAATCATCAATAAAAGTGATTAAATACTTCATCCCACCTAAGGATAAATTTTGTATAGGTCCACACAGATCTGAGTGAATCAGATCTGATTTCTCTTAGTTTTAATTAAACCAGAGCTGTTGAGTGGTTGTCTGGCCTGTTTCCCATATATGCAGGCTTCACGGTGCTCCAAACTATCTGGGATATTAATTTTTACCCTGGAAATCAGCTGATCTTTGATCATTTTGCACCAATAATCAAAATTAATGTGCCCAAATCTCCTGTACCAAAGCATTGGTGTATCTTCATTTAAGTTACTTATATTGGCTTCCAGATATGATGGAATTTAAGCCAACTTGTATAGACTCTGCTCTCTGATATGCAAAGCAATATGGGCACCATTTTGATCAGTGATCTGGCATCCAGAATTGTCAAAGTTGAAATTGAGTCCATCTTCAGTAGCCTTGCTTACAGATTGTAGGTTCTTGGCTATTTCTGGTACATAGAGTACTTCTTTGAAAGTCAGTGTATGACTTCCTTCACTGCTTCTTAGGCTTACTTGGATAGTTCCTTCTCCCACTACATCAAGTGTTCTATTGTCACCCAGGAAAACCTTCTTTATTGGATTTCTTGATATTGGGTAAAAAGTTCTTTTTGGTGTGTAAAGTGTTGAGATGCTCCAGAGTCAATATACCATGTCTGAGAATCCTTGTTTGTGATGATATTTAGTGCAGATATGAAAAGTGTATCTTCAGTTGTTGCAGCATTTCCCTATTCAGTGTTCTTTTGCTGATAATCTCTCTTTTTGAGACACCAGTCTGATGTGTGTCCTTTCCTTTTGCAGTAGTTGCAAAACAAGTTGCTGTTGCCTTTGTAGGGTCTTGGGTACCTCCATTGTTGGTTATAATTGCTTATTAATGCATTCTCTTCTACCTTCTTATTGGCCCTTGGTTTACTTAATTCTTCATCCTGGAGCCTTCCAAATATGTAATTTAAGGTCAAATCTTCAGTCCTGGACTCTAAGGCTAATACAAGGCCTTGAAACTTGTCTGTCAGGCTATTCACAATGATAACTATCACATCCTCATCAGTAGTTGGTATGCCCACAGATTCCGTATCATCTACCAGCAGGGAAATTCTGTTAATTAGATTTTTCATTTCTTTTCCTGGCCGCATCTTTGTAGTAAAGAATTTTTGTTGCAGATACATTTTCTCAGCAGATGAGCATGAGTGGTAGGTGTCTTCTAATGCCTTCCAGGCATTCTTTGTTGTTTTGCTCTTGAGCATTGAATTAGCAATTTGTCCTTAGCATTAAGGCAAATGCAGTTAAAGGCACTTTGTTGTTTCTTCTGGTACTTTAAGACTTCCTCTCCCACATTTTTAGGAGGACATTCTTCTCTCATGACAATATCCCAAAGGCCTCTTTCTTGTAGCAGCATCTTTATCCTCACCTTCCACACTTGGTAGTTGGAACCATGCAACTTTTCAGCAGAAGGCAAAATTCCAGTAATAGCGGTAGTAGACATTGCAGAGAGTGACAGCTTGGGGCTCACAACCTGTTGTAAGAGTCTTGGAGATATTGGAAGTGATTGGGAGAACAAGTAGTTTATGCGGTTTTTACTTGATGATTCAATGAGTGTTGAAGTAGTATTGGTACTTTTACATGGTCTTGGCAAAGCAAACACCCAGAATATGTTGAGGATGGTTCCAAGAATATGTGGGCAAGGTTTGGGGCTGTTTGGACCACTTTGAGAGTTTTCATGTTCTGGGTACCTCATGTTTTGGTGAAGATATTCTAAGCAAATCCCAACAAGGAATTTGGTCAGTATTCTCTAGGATCTGTAGGTAATGATCTAAGTGACTAAGTTAGGTGAATATTTAGGTGGAATTTCAAGTTTTTACAACAGATCCAACAGGGTGTTGATCAGGGGCAAACAGCTCAAACAATTACCAAGAGCCAGGAATTGCAAGATAGAATCTTATTTGGAATCTTTGAGCTTCAAAAGGAGTAATGCTGACTATAGTTTATACTATAAGCCAGATAGAGCAAGTCCAGTTCTATTAGCTCTATATGTGGATAACCTTATTGTAGCCACCAATAACCCAGCAACATTGGAAGAGACTAAATACAGCATATCTAAAGAGTTCCAGATGTCCCATCTAGGGGAACTCAGTTACTACTTAGGGATTAAGTTCTCCATAGAGAGAGGTACCCACACTATTACACTAAGACAATCCAAGTATATTTAAGATGTACTAAAGAAGTACCAAATGGAAGACTGTAAACCGGCAGCTATCTCAATGGATATAACCTTAACTTGGTCAAAACTCAACCAAATCTAGATAGCTTGGTGCCATCTGAAAGCCCTGACTTTCCTTATTGATCTAAGATTGGCAGCTTGATATACATCAAGCTTGGAACTTGTCCAGATATCTCATATTCAGTGGGAGTTGTCAGTCAGCACAATTATATCTATGGATCTGATCATATTGCAGCAGTTAAGCAGATTCTTAAATACCTGAAAGGAATTGCTGATAAATGCTTAAGGTACACCTATGAGGATCCAGAACAAGATCTTGTGGGATAATCTGATGCTGCTTAGGGACAAAGCTTATAAGATAGTAGATCCATCACAGGATACACCTTACTTTGCTGTAAGGTACACTTTCATAAAATTCAAGAAAGCAGCCAACTGTGGCACTTTCTACCACAAAGATAAAATATTTGGTAGCCTGTGAATCTACTAAAGAAGCAATGTTGTTAAGAGAGCATTTTAAAGATTTAGTTTTGTATCAAAAAATGCCAATTACTTTGTATCAGGCTAATCAGTAATGTATATAATTGGGTTGAAATCCAACTTTTCATGCCCAAACAAAGCACATAGATATTAGGCATAATCTTATTCATGATGCTATAGAAAGTGATGCTGTTGGTTTAGCTTACTGGCCTACAGATGAAATGATTGAAGCCATATTCACCAATCTGGTAGCTAAAGACAAACTTGATTATCTTAGGTCAGTATTAGGACTAAACAGTATGAACATTTAGTTAAGTGAGTATATTGTAAAGATTGATAGTTTCACCTATAAATTCACCAAACATAATCACTTAGATCATTACCTACAAATTCTATAGAATACTGACTAAATTCTTTGTTGGGATACATCTAGAATATCTTTACTAAAATGTTATGTATGCAGAATATTAATATTAATAAAGATGCCCAAACAGCCCCAAACTTTGCAAATATATTGTTGGGACCTTCCTTAACATATTTTATGTATTTGTCATGCCAAGACCATGTAAAAGTACAAGTATTGTTTTTACATTCAAATAAACCATTGTGTAAAAACCACATGATTCACTTGTTTGCAGTGGCAACAGCCTAACATAATTGAAGATAAATACTAATTGAGATACATTACTCTTGAGCATTGACCATGCATACCAGAAAATACTGGATCCTGTCCAATCTCTGAAGGTGGATTGGTAATGGCCTAGTCAGTACAATGGTGGGGGACCATGTGAGTATACTAAATGTTGATGTTTTCTTCCAAACTGCTCCATTACATAATACTTATTTTCTTCTGTTATGTGTGCATGTGCCTGTTCTTCCTTTGCACTGCTGTCTTTGGCCTAAAAGAGCTTGCTTTCCAGCTACAATGATGCTCTCCATTACCTAATCATTGTTGCTGAAGGGCAATTTTAGATAATATATATATGAAAGGGTTGTTGTATTATGCCTCCTTGACTGAGTTGTCAGAGCATCTGCCTAGTAAGCAGAAGGTTGCTGGTTTGATTCCAGCAGAAGGCATGTCTTACATGTTGATCCTTTTATACTTTTATACTTGTACAAGTGAACTTTTTTATTGTTTACTTCAAAGGGCTGTGCTAAGCATCCAAATGTTCAAAACATTAAGTGGCTGTTGCCTATGCCATTTATCAAATTTAGCTTTGGCTCTTATGTGACTCTTGAGTAAAAGCAAGCAAAATTACTCCAAAAGCAATGAAGAGAGTAGGATTCAAACCCACACCTTCAAAGAGAACATGACCTTGAAGTGATGTCCTAGACCAACTTGGCCATTTCTCCATTCTTGTGGCTTGTTTACCATTGTTCTAAATGACAATTTAACTTAGCTGCCATTTAGATCATAATCTACCCTAAGAAAAAAAATTAAGAAAAGGCCAGCAAAATACCATCATAATATCAGCTGAGTTCTAAGTTTTCAATATTGACAACTCTCAATATTGCTATTGTTAGCTTATGAGCAGGTAAGCAAACAAACACGCCAGGAGGAGACTAGGTCAACTACTATCCATACCAAATCTAGTGATTAGGTGCCCATTACTTCAATCAAAAATTTCCTCTGAAATTTTGAACTAAAAACACCAGCTAAATACCAGCAAAATACCATTAGAATACCAGCAGAAAACCAGCAGAAAATCAGAAGAATTCCAAGTTTGAAATTTTCCATAGGGCTATTTCTTGCCATTGGTGGCTTAGTCAGGCAAGTGTAACTATAGGAGCTCTCTAGATACCTGCTGTCTTATTATAAACTATTTTTTGTAATGCAGTTGATTAGCCAGTTAGTATCAGTGCTATTTTACTATTTATCTCCATGTTATATTTTAAGTCAGGATCAAATAACAAAACTCCACATAGCTCAGTTAGGAGAATGGGAGCCACACCACAAGGGCTTTGTTTCAATTGCCGCCAGCATAGGCAAATCTCAAAGTACTGGCCTCAGTGAAGAAATAAATATCAGTCTACTGGAACTTTCCACCATAGTGAAGACCAAGGACATAGTGCAGTGGAAGCTGAGCTTGTAGAGGAGTCAGAACTCAACTTCCATATGACAGACAAGTACTTATCCCAAATGACATCAAACTCAGGAAAATATTTTACTTAAATGGAGTAAACAATGGAGTGCCTGACAAGATTATGATTGACTCAGGAACATCACACAAGTACATGTCAGAACAACCAGCCTTGAAAGCAGGATCAACTTGGAACTTAACAAATCCACTTCAGCTTGAGTAGCTGGTGGGGACTCTCACATAATCAACTGTATTTCTCAACAAGTATGAAAGATGATCAATGAATATGAACAAGACCTGCAGACCTATATATTTGGAAACTGCAAATTTGACCTTGTTGTTGGAAAGACGTGGCTATACAGCTGCAATATATCAATCAATTGCAGAACCATGCCACTCAGATCCAAAAAGGCAACTAGACCTATGAGCTTCTACCTGCTAGACTGGATTTCAACTTGGTTAATTCCAGTTTGTTGGAAAAGAGTGAATTGAGCATAGCAGAGTTTTGCGGATCACTTAGAAAAGTTATAAAGATGGTTCTCATAGCAGTCCCACAGGGCAATTCCTCTACTGCAGCACCCCAGCAAGTCCAGACTCTTTGGACAAATTATTCAGATATATTTCCAGATGAACTTGCTAGCCAACCATCAGTCAGAGATGTGAGTCAAAGTGCTGACACAGAAGATAGCCCCCCAGTGAACAAGACATCTTACAGGTTGATTCCATTGTAATTGAAAGATTTGAAGAGACAAATTTATCAAGTTTTGGAGCAAGAAAACTCCAGGCCCAGTAAGTCATCCTGGGGACCACCAATGCTTTTGCTAAAAACAAAGGATAGAACACTCAGGATGTGTATTAATTACAGAGCCCAAAACTCATTTACTGCAAACAATAAGTACCCTATACCTTTGATTGATGAGCTTTTGGACTAGCTCAATGAAGCAACCATATTCAACAAGATTGACTTCACTACAGGATACAAACCAATTAGGGTGAGCCCTGAAGATATACCTAAGACAGCACACAGGAATAAGTATGAACATTACATGTAGTTATTCATGAGTTTTCCTGCACCAATGCCCAAGCAACATTTGTGACCTTGATGCAAACCATCTTCTGGAAGTACCTAGACAGGTTTGTGGTCATCTACATAGTTTACATATTGATATACAGCAAGACAGTAGAGGACCACCTGGTGCACATAGACAAGGTCTTGAAGTAGCTAAAAGAGAACAAGCTATATGGCAAGCTAGCAAAGTGTAAGCTCTTCAAAGAACATTCCTGTATCTGGCACACATAGCAACTAGTACAGTAGTTGTTGCAATTTAAGAAGTGATTGGGATATAAGGAACTTATCAAGAAATAGTGATAATAGTTGAGCTGTTGTTTATGAATAAAGAAGCTCAGTATTTATACCTTTGTAGAAGTAATAGAGCTGTAACACTAAGTAAGGAGGGTTTCTCAATATTCAGGAGCATTCTGTGACAGTTTCAGGGCTAGTACATAATGTTTAGTAACAGTGCTAATTTGATCCCGACTATAAGGGAATAATCATAAGATCATGGATCTGAAGAAAGTGGCAAAGTTTGAGCTGTAAATTAGTCCCACAATGACCAAGGCTGGTCTAGAATTGTTGAGTAAATTTTTAGCCGCAGAATGATACCAAATAGTTCAATGTTTCAGCAGTAGTGACCTTAGACCATAATAAAGTGGAAGTTATCAAGAATCTGAAGCAGCTCCATATCATTTCAATGCTCAGATCATACATTGAAATAGTTCCCAATTATCAGATATTTGTAAAGTTGTTTGCAAGTATTGCAGCTTGTTTGACTGATATGCTCAAGAAGGACAATGCCTTAAAGTAGGACATATCCTGTGAGATTGCCTTTCAGACACTCAACAATGTGCTTGCCAAGCTGCAAAGCTAACAAATACAGGACTTCAGAAAAGAGGTTACCCTCTGCACAATTGCTTCAGACTTTGCAATTGGTGGAGTACTGTACTAAAAACCTGAAGGTGAGCAATACTCAGCTGCTTTAGAATACAAGAGCCTGAACTCTGAAGAACAAAACATTCTGGTGCATGTTAAGCAAAAGCTTGCCATAATACACCGCTTAAAGATATGAAGATCCTGCATTGAAGGGGTCAAGTGCACTACAAAGATATATCATCTCTCCCTTAAGTATATTTATATTCAGAAGGGACTACCTTGAAGAATGACAAGATGGAGTGAGTAAACTCAGCAATTTGACCAGGAGATTGTCTACTGCCCTGGGAAAAGCAACATGGTTGCTGGTGCCTTTTCATGACTAGAACAAGTTAGACAACTCAGCCTGGTGTATGAATCAGATTGGCCCAGCCTGTTACCAAAGTACTTGAACAACCCAGCCATTGCTAATGGGGTGAATGAAGATGTCAAGAGGATTATATGGGATGATGCAAGCAAACCTGAAGTACAAAATGCTACACTCTACCAAATTGTTGATGGAAGCCCTATTTCCTATTGCCCCTATGTTACTTGCCTGGACTTAATACACCAGCTACACAATGGATTTGAATATCTGGGAATTGAGGGAACCCATAGCCTCATAAAAGCTAGAGCATGGTGGCCCAGAATGGAATAAGATATTGCAAGGCCAGTGAAAACATCCCCAAGTTGCCAAATCAGCCAAGGTCAACCACAGTGAGTTGCAGAACTCCTTCCCTTAGTTCCAGTAAGATCATTTGAAAAATGGGGAATAGACTTTCTGGAAGACTGCCCCCTACCTGATACCCATTTGGTGGATTTTAGTAGAAAATGACCATGCACTAAATGGCCAGTTACTTAAGCTGTACTTGTAGCCAGTGAACAAGTGTTATGATCTTTGCCTTGAATGATTAAGTTAGAACAGTTTTTGGTCAAATTAATTAGTCATTTGTTAAGCCTGTCATTACATCAGTGTTAGCTATCAAATCAGTAGCAATAGTCAGCAAATGATTCAGCAGATCCTTATCAGACAGAAATAGATATATTAGGCATGATGTTATTAGGTGATGATAATGCAATTGGATGAGTCATCAGCTCCAACCTACATTAAAATATATAAACAGTCAGCAATTTATCTGGCAAAACATATATAAGGAGCTGCTGGAACCTCAATGAGAATTAGTTCAAGTTTTAGTGAATACAACACTTGCTAAGCTCCCCATTCCTCTACAACTCTTTTACCAAGACTTGCAACATTTGTAGCAGCAATAACCAAAACTCTCCCTCCTGAAGAAAGAAGTAGCCTCCTCCAAGATGTCAGAAAATCAAGAAAGGAAGAATGCTATGCAATAAATCCCGGCCCAACAGCAACAGTTACTCCAGATTCTTAGCCAGCAGCAACAAGGAATGACTACCATGGCCCAAAGCTAGCAAAACCCTGTCAAGAGCAACTTCAGTGTGAAGGTTAACCAGTACCAAGGTAGAGTCAATAAAAATATGGGAACTTGGCTTTTCAGATTGGAGACTTTCAGGGCTAAGGAAACTGCTCCAGAAAGCAAGTTACATTAAGCAGTCTCTTACCTGGCATATGCAGCTTTACAGTGGTACCACAACAGGATCAGGTCAGACACCATGATGGAATGCTCTACAATCTCTACTTGGGATGAGTCTGTGTTGGCAATTTGGGATGCTTTTGAACCCCTACACCAGCAGACACTACTCAGAAGAAAGCTGAAGATACTAAGACAGAAAGGAATGGCTCAAGAGTACAATTATTTAAATAGATGTCTGTTTGGACAAGTTCAAAGAATGGACCCCCTGGATCAAGTGGAATTCTTTACTAATGGATTATAGAACCAGCAATGAAGTGAACTATTGAGACCTCAGATCACTGAATAAGCCATCAAGATTGCCATTTAATATGACTAGGCTATGTTTGGAGCCAAAAAGCCCACAATGACTGATCAGAGAGGCTACAATCACTATGAAAGAAGACAATCAGAAGCAGTGCCAATGAAAATAGATGCTATGCAGAAGAATCTTACCTCAGTAGAATGTAAGGAGAAAGGACTTTGCTTTATTGCCACCAGCAGGGACATATTGCAAAGTACTGCCCTCAGAGAAGAAATGGGCACTAGCCATCAAAATCTTCAACCATGTTGAAGCCCTTGAGCATAGTAACATGGAGGATGAGCTTGAAGAAGATTTAGAACTCATATTTCACATGACAGAAGAATATTTATCCCAGATGACCTCAAACTCAGGGAAATATTTTACTTAAATGGAGTAAACAATGGAAAGCTACC